AGTACGTATTCCAGGTATTCTATTAATGGTATCAATTACTCTTATGATATTTATAAATTTAATCAGTTTCCTCGTATCTTTTTCGCAGCAGATGAAGTGTTAAACGTTTTACTGCCATTAAAATGTTCCAACTCACCGGGGCTAGATGGCGTACCGCCTTTCATTTAAAAAACTGATCTGTCACGTTCACAATAGATTCTCAAAAAGTTTTTCCAAAATGAAAAACATGACCGTCCTCCAAAATATTAATGTTTGCTGACGATGTTAAACTTTTCTGTAATCTTAATTCTCACAACCAATCATTTAATCTGCAAAATGACTTGTATTCCCTTGTAAATTGGTGGAATGTCTAAATTAAAAAAATGTAAAAAATTGTCTTTGTACAGATCTCAGCATGTAACCTACAACTATTTCATTGGTTTGTACAAATTGGATAATGTTGACTCGTTTCTTTATCATGGTGTCATATTAGACAATAAATTATGTTTTAACTTAAATATAGAGTCTTGTGTAAATAAAGCCAAGTCGTTACTAGGATTTATAAAACGTTGGTCAATGGAATTTGACGATCCTTATGTGACTAAACGCTTATTTATCAGCCATGTTGGAACTACTTTGGAGTCCTTTCTAAAAATCATACTTAAACCAGTAAAAAAAAGTCAAAAGTCGGGCGGGTCCGACTATATGATACCCTATTTAGTAGAGCTCCCGTAACAAAAGAATTTATTTCAAGTAGATCATACCACCTATCAACATTTGGCTTTAGATCAGTTATAGTTTTCTGTAGAGTGCATGATATCACTTGGAGATGGACTACACGAGTTGCACAAAATGGAAACGTACGTTCCGAAGTTCACTCCATTTCGGCCGATACAAGCTACAATAAACAGGAAATCGGATTAAGGATATAAATGGGACCTATATCCTAATCTTAGCGGTTCTCGATAAAATTTGGCAAATGTATTTCCGAGATTTATATATGTGGAACAAAATCTCATTGTTGTGGAATGCATATTACGCATGTGAGGGACTTTAACACCAAATCGGATGAAACATATATATGGGAGCTATATCTGAACCGATTTTCACGAAATTTGTGCTTGCTCCTAGACTGAATTTGGTCGGTGTCATTCGGTCATTTGGACTGACTTTGACCATTTGGTGCACAGTTAACCCGAAAATATGTATGGGAGCTATATCTTTCTTTGATCGCAAAAATATATGAACAGATGGACTGACATGCATAAATCGACTCAGAAAGTGATTCTATGAAGATCCTCAAAAGTAACTATTGGTCTATCTCGCTTCCTTTTCTATGTTAGAAACAAATGCACTATGTGGTGTAGGTTATAAAAAGATAGAATCTGTCAGGTTCAATTTGTTCTGTTTGCTCTGAGAGGCTTGGGATGGAATTCAAATGGACTTCTCCCACCATATAAAAACCCCATTAAAAAGTCGATTAATGCTTAGATGTATCTTTATCATCAAACTTTCGCGCCGTCAAATTGATTCTGGGTTTTTAACTGGTGAAATAAAATTCAATGTCCCTTCGCGTAGTACGAGCAAACTAAACTAACATTAGCAAAATCGAACTATGAATTAAATAATCCTCTCCGGGGTTTATGTGCCGATTATAACAAGTTGTAGCAGTACCTCCACGAATGGGTGTTAATTTATAGTGGTTGCTACGTTGGACGACAGTTTTGTAGTGGATAATTTTGTCGTGGGCGCCAAATTAAGGAAAATCTATTAGCCTTCCGAAATGATAACTCCTTAATTGTTAAAGTTGTTTTATTTGGAAAATACTGGTTAACTGCCAAACACTGCAAAGGAAGAATGAAAACGTACATACATGCATACATTTATTAAAAATAACTCACAAACAATCATGCATGCACAACAAAACCATCGCAGCCACGTATACACAAAACATTGTTGTTTGTGTTAAATAATAATTACAACTAGGCATGGGAGAGAAACAACAATAAAGTATGCAGCAGCAAATAACTGCCACATACATACATCACTATTGCTTGCCTCTAATGCCCAACAACAAAACATCATAGCACAGAGAAACGGCCGCGTACAGCAACCACGTATCTCCCTGTACTTATTGTTTTATGTATTTAGCAATAATATTAATAACAACAACAAAGCAGCATAGCAAAGGGAAACGGTCGCGAATAGCCACCACGTATTCCCTTGTACTTGTTGATTTGGTACAAATAATACCAACACGGCCACAAAAAGCCAAGAATAGTATGCACGAATTGTTGCTTGCTGTGTTAGCTAGAGAACCTTTCTTGCGAAGCAGCAAACGAAGAATGAACAATTCTTGTTGATGTCGCTTCTTTTATAAGCTCAGCAGAGAGTTTTCAAACACAAAATAGAACGATTATTCTAAAACTATGATGCACAAAATTAACATTGCGCTTGTCTCTGTGAGAGAAACCAAAAAGCACGTAAAAAATATCTCCCTTCTTGTTTTGGACGTTTTGTAGCAAGAATTTTAGTTTTATGTTAGCAAAATTACCAAAAAACATTAAATATAAACTCCATATATTTATATTTTTTTACAAAAGCTATCTATAATTTGTTTTCTTAATATTAACGGAGCAACAATGCGTGCATCCCCCACGCATGCCTACATGCACACGTACTGTTTTGTTCATCTAAGTTCTAAAAGCATAACTTGATGAAGAATTGCTCATCAACTGGTTCTTTGGTTTTTATTTACTAATTAGTCATGGCAATGCAAGAAAACAAATAATATGGTTACGTTACGTTAAAATATGCGTTACAAATGTATGAATTCACATACAATTATATTTAAAACCAGCGAACGAAAACAAACAAAACGATTAACGTACCGCTCACACGAAGTCACAAACTTTTAAAATATTTTCAATCGTTTTGTACTTCATACAAAACAAGACCACAAACCTTTCAATGCCAGAAATACACAAACAGTACGTTTGCTTTAATTTACTATGGCCGTGAGTTGCCAATTTGTTCTGTTTGCGAACAAATCGCCAGGAAACGTTTCCACAGACCACTTCGTATGACAGAAGACCGGCCATTTAAGATTTTATATATTTTTCAAGAAATAATTGTACAACTACATATTTTTCTAAATCCGAATTTTCTAATTCAACCTCTTGTGCCGAATCAAGTAATACTGAAAATGCACTTGAAGCTTACCTTAAAACTTGTGATTGACCTTCCTGCAGTGAACCACTCATAAAAATATTTAACGTGACATATTTTATTAACAAGAGTAAATGGAGCATTTGAATAAAAATACATGAATTCGTCTTAACATTACTTTCTATAATATTTGTAATGAGTTTATATACAAGCAAACGTTTTCAATGTGTATTATACCAGCAGAGTATATTTCAGTTTTGTTTTTGTTTCCACTCACATACACAAACAGTACTAAACAAAAAACAAGTGCCGTTAGCTGAGTATTGGTTTTGTTTCGTTTCGTACTTCGGGAAAATACAGAACAAAACGATTGCAAACGTTTGCAATAGTCTATTTTCGTACGCTGCTTATATGAGTTCTATGTGTAAACCCTAGCATGTCATAAAAAACTCCATCCTACGTTCTTAGTATGTAAAACTGTTGCCAGACTACGTTTTTGTGAAGTTTAGTTTTACTGTATTTTAGCATAGATAGTTTAACCTTTAAATTGTTAACGGGCTGATGCTCTAATGTAGCTGGTTTCCCAAGTCTACTAACCCCCTATAATCCGGACTATGAGGCGTACGCGCTCCTACCTATCGGTCGGCAGGGGTGGGAAAGTGAGACGTTGGGACGATCGAAAAAAAATAATTCCGTCATAAACGAGAGTCTGTAGTCAATTAAACTTAACTATACTTCGTTTATATTTGTTGACAATTTGATGTCTAATTGGTCACGGCTTGTCAATTGAATCATATTTTCGTAAAAACCTCATGCCTAAAATCCCACCATATACCTCGATAGTCAGACGGCCGTGGTAGCACTCAAGCCCTAACCATCATAGGTGTGGGATGCAGGAAAGCTATTAAATTAAAAAATCATTCGTAACAACGTTGCATTTCTTTCGAATAGTTAATTAATGAGGAAAGGTAGGCCAACGACCACTTGCTCGCGATTAAGTATCGGAAACAATCGGACTATTTAATCTTCTAACCTTCTCTATGTAGTTTTTTTTTTTTATCAAAAGATTAAGCTATATTTTAAGATGATCCAAATAGACCCGAATATCTTCTAATCTAACTGTCGAGAGACCAAACAATAAATCGCCTATTAATATATTAAAGAGAATGAAGAGTAATAACGAATAGTAATGAAATATTTCTTAATATTTTATTGCAATTATTGTTTTTGTAAACTAGAATAGTGTTGGCATGTTTGTTTGGGATACCGTAGTATTTTGTTGTTGCAAAAATCGTCAGGCTTAATCCCATTATTGTTGTTTTTATAAAACAACATTTGTTTATTAGTGGAGAACGATGGTAATGTTTACCAGGGGGTAAGGCAGGGAATACCTAGGTTTCGGAAAGAGCCACCAATCCTCATCAGTTCCCTTGTTTTTTGCCTGGGATATTCTCCCCAGAAGTTATTTTAAAATAACTCCTATCACAAAAACTTTTTTACCCAAGTGACGAGATCGTAAGCTCAATAGAAGAGGAACCAAAGAATTATATAAAACTAAACTTTTTGTAAACTGATAAAAGTAGGGAAACTACATAAAATATTCACTCTGCCGTAGGACATGCAAAGAACCAGTTAAAAATGTCTTTTTAATTTTTTTCTTAATATATTTCTTTATCTAAACTTTTGTGTTGTTTCTGTTTTATATGGCACGTCTAATTGAACCTATAGTTGTAAAATATAAGACTGCAGTTTGGTATCATATTCATTTAATAAGAAAATATTGAATGGAACACCATTCTGACCCGTCGTGCACGTTTTTAAAAAATAAATAACGTTTTAACTTATATTTTCAGGCTTACGCAGCTGGTTGTAATATTGTTGTGCTTGCAAGTACATTTGAGCGGGTACAGATAATACCTGGGGCAACACATGGTTATGTCAAAATTTCTGCATTGGATTGTAGCACCGACACTGGAAAAGTTGCAGCGGCATACGAAAGCAAAATATGTATATTTGAACCAACTCCAGTATTGCAAACAGAAAAACGATTCACTCATTTTCTGGATTATAGGTAAAACCGCAGTTGTACTATTGGAATCACTATATATTTTTATTAATTGAACCTGAAAAAATCATTACCACAATCTTTCGTAAATCCTAGGAATAACCCGAAATTTCGTTAACGTAATGGTATCCAACAACGTGTCTATAAACGTTTTGCAATTTTCATTTTTAAAGAATTTTTGGTAAATCTTCATTTATTTTTCAATTCGCGAATCTATGATATAATAATGTTCTGCAAGAAAATATAAATTATATCACAGCTTTTCTTTTAACATAGAAAAACAGAGAAAAATATAATTCGCTTACATGTAAATAAACTAGTCAAGTAAAACTTAAACTACTATAGAATTCAATATCATCGCCTGTTGTTATTATTGCACTGTGTTGTTTACATATTGCACCATAGGTTTTTTTCTGTCAGTTGTCGATAAAAATTTGTTGTGTTATCGGTGTCGCTTTTGAAGATTATTCTTTCTGTTGTTGTTAGATTATAGACAATTGTTAGACAATTCACCATGTGTAACATCGCTATTGTTAATCTTCTTTTATTGTTGTTTTTAGTTTGTGCTTTCTCGAAGTTAGATTAAATTAGAATAGATATTATTATCGGATAAAACTTCTTCATTGCTATATTCTTCAAATTGAATTCGCCTTTTGACATATGCTCCTATAAAAATTATGTTGTGTAACTCATTTTGTGTTTTTGCTATATTCGCAACTTGCATATCGAATTTTAAAAAAAGTATAAGGAGCTGCAGTGCTTAGTTATTTGGTATATATTTTTCGTATTTAGCCTATACAGCTTCAGCATATTATTTCCGATGAAGGAGATTTTGTGCGGCGTTGTTTTTAAAACCCGTTATGTTTGCATTTGTCAATCGATTATGAGTGTATCCCGTTATAGCTTTTTTTCTTACATTCCGGATCAAATAAACCCTGGATCGTAAGAATACATACGTTGAAACCTCAGAAACTAATACCAAAAAATATCGAAAAAAATGTTTTTGCAAATATCGTGAATTTATTTGCGTGTTCTGTGGGTCATTTCCAATTCAACAAAGAAACTGTTGTGCGCCCTACTTGCTTCTGTTGAAATAAAAATTTATTCAAATTTTTCATTTATTTACCTTAGTGAAATATAAAGAAGGCCACATATAGTCCATAACTTATATTATTTGTCTATAATTCCCTAATATAATACAAATTCAATAATTTATAAAAATTTAAAAAATAAAGATCATACCTAATAATTTATCTTAAGAATTCACTACAAACCTGAAGACTACACCACAATTCACCATCACCAGCTAAACAAAAATCTAGTTAGGCAGTGAAAAAATGCAGCAGAATCAAGTAAAAAGAAAGGATACCTTTTTTATAACTCACTGAAGAGAGTAAAAATAGTAACTTACATCATAACACCTGACAAATAGAATTAAGAATATAATATAATGGCTCCTGGTATTAGCCCATTATTGGTAGGCAATAACCGCCTGGTACTAGGGGATTTTAATGCCCACCATGAGTTGTGGCATTTCGTCCTAGGTAATGACCAGAGAGGATCAGCGCTGGCAGAGCAGATTGACTGCTCCACATTCTGCACGGTTAACGAGGATGCCCCCACCCGAATAAGAGGAGAGTGTCACAGTTCGCCAGACTTAACCATAGTGTCACCCGGTCTGATAAATGACGTGACTTGGCAACCCGTCATTTCTCTTGGCTCAGACCATCTCCCGATAATCGTCTCCATAACCTCTGAACGCCGCACTTTCCTTAACCATGGGAAAGCTCACCGTCGTACCAACCCTACTGATCCTAGAATCAGTGATTTGACAGTGGAAGTCAACCGGTTGGTACAGGAGCATAAGAGGAAAAAGTGGCTAGACCATCTGAAGTGCTGCAACATTGGAACCGATATGAGTAAGCTGTGGGTAACGGTTAAGTCGCTCTGGAACCCTGGAAAAAAGGATGATAGGACGTCAGTCACTTTTAACGACGTAACGGTGACTGATCCGAAGAGGTGCGCGGAATATTTTAACCGACAATTTTTCGAGCACCCCGAGAGCGATAGGGCGAAGCGAAGAGTACTACGTCGTATCAGATCTCTTCCCACAGTTTACGATGTGTGATGTTGCAAATGTCATCCGTAACGCTAAGTCATCCAAAGCGTTGGGCCGGACGGAATCTCAATGGTAATGTTGACGAAAGTTCTCAATTTGTCGCTAGCCACCCACATAGTGCCCGAAACCTGGAAAATGGGCCGGGTGGTCCCGCTACTGAAGACAGGCAAGGCTGCCAGTAATGGCGAATCGTACAAGCCGATTTCGCTTTTGTCGCCAGTAGCTAAGACTCTTGAGGCTTTACCCCTTCCCAGCATTAGAGGAAGCTATAGAGTTACCAACCACCAGCACGGATTCCGTCCACAACATACACGCCATTTCCACACATATTAGTAGAGAACTGAACCAGAACAGGCCGTGTGACAGAACAGTGTTGGTAGCCCTTGACCTAGCAAAGGCATTTGATACGGTCAATCATGCCACACTGTTTGAGGACGTACAGAGAACTACCCTCCGGCCAAGTTTGAAACGTTGGATAATCAACTATATGTGTGGACGCCAGTCGTACGTGGAATTCCGGAACAAGAAGTCCACAGCCCGTAGAGTGAAACAGGGAGTTCCCCAAGGCGGGGTGATATCTCCGGAACTGTTTAACCTCTACCTTTCCGGAATTCCTCGCCCTCCAGACGGCATTGAGATCATAACGTATGCGGATGATTGTACGATCAGTGGTCGATGACATATGCGAAAGGTTGAACCCCTATCTCGCGGAGCTTGCCGCATACTTCCACGCGAGGAATATGAAAATATCCGCCACGAAATCAACGGCCACACACTTTACCACATGGTCTGCGGAGATGAGAACACAGCTGAATGTTCAGGTCGAGGGGAATCTAATACCGACTACGAACTACCCCAAGATTCTTGGGGTAACGTTCGACAGCATGTTCAAGTCGTCTGCGCAAGCCACAGCTATCTGCGACAAGATGAAAAGTAGGAACAAGGTCCTCATGTAGTACATGTACATGCAGTAGTACATGTATGTGTTTGCGTTCTGCTAATCTGGTTCCAGCTCCAGGTTTAGAAATTCGGCTACTTTAACGGGCTGTAGCCAGAGATCTTCTGGAGTGAGTTGGGTAGGTTTGGCTGAGCAATTAAAAATGTGTAGCGTATTGTGCGGGCCTATATCGCAAGCCGGGCAGGCGTCACGCACATCTTCATCAATTCGTGCCCAATACGAATTGAGACGACTACACCATCCTGAACGTAATTGCGCCAAAACTACCCTGGTTTGTCTAGGCAGCTGACGTTCTTCGGCTGCAATGGATGGGGGGTAGACTCCGAGGACGGCATTCACTTTATAACTGCTAATAGCATCCGCGACTGCATCGGAGAGAATGCCACTCAGACCTGCCTGATAGGCTTCTTGATCTAGAGGTTCTCTCTTGTAGCGCTGGACCTCCCTCTCTTGATCATGTATGTCCTTCCTGATACGCCTGGGTGGGGGAGATTTATCCACCATATGATGGTTGGGATGACTCTCACGGTAACACCCAAGCAGGTACTGCAACGAAAGCATATGATTATGCTGACGTAAGGGAAGAACTTTCGCCTCTTCATGTAGATGATCCACTGGTGTCATGAGGAGGCACCCTGTCGCAGTTCTCAGGGCAGCGTTCTGGCAGGTCTGGATATGCTTCCATTGCGTGGCACTAGTATTCGCAGACCACACTGGAGCCGCATAGCTGACCACAGACCGACCTATCGCGTTATAAGAGGTCAACAAGGATTCTTTGTCCGCACCCCAAGAGCTGCCGGCTAGCGCCTTGAGGACCTTGTTCCTACTTTTCATCTTGTTGCAGATAGCTGTGGCTTGCGCGGATGACTTGAACATGCTGTCGAACGTGACCCCAAGAATCTTGGGGTAGTTCGTGGTCGGTATTAGATTCCCCTCGACCTGAACATTCAGCTGTGTTCTCATCTCCGCAAACCATGTGGTAAAAAGTGTGGCCGTTGATTTCGTGGCGGATATTTTCATATTCCTCGCGTGGAAGTATGCGGAAAGCTCCGTGAGATAGGGGTTCAACCATTCGCATATGTCATCGACCACTGGACCCGACGCCATGATCGTACAATTATCCGCATACGTTACGATCTCAATGCCGTCTGGAGGGCGATTAATTCCGGAAAGGTAGAGGTTAAACAGTTCCGGAGATATCACCCCACCTTGGGGAACTCCCTGTTTCACTCTACGGGCTTTGGACTTCTTGTTCCGGAATTCCACGTACGACTGGCGTCCACACATATAGTTGATTATCCAACGTTTCAAACTTGGTCGGAGGGTAGTTCTCTGCACGTCCTCAAACAGTGTGGCATGATTGACCGTATCAAATGGTCAAGGGCTACCAACACTGTTCTGTCACACGGCCTGTTCTGGTTCAGTCCTCTGCTAATATGTGTGGAAATGGCGTGTAATGCTGTTGTGGTACTATGTTGTGGACGGAATCCGTGCTGGTGGTTGGCAACTGTATAGCTTCCTCTAATGCTGGGGAGGAGTAAAGCCTCAAGAGTCTTTGCTACTGGCGACATCGGCGAAATCGGCTTGTACGATTCGCCTTTACTGGCATCCTTGCCTAGCTTCAGTAGCGGGACCACCCGGCCCATTTTCCAGGTTTCGGGCACTATGTGGGTGGCTAGCGACAAATTGAGAACTTTAGTTAAGTACTCGACTCCCGGCGTATCCAGCTGCTTCAACATTACCATTGAGATTCCGTCTGGGTCCAACGCTTCGGATGACTTAGCGTTACGGATGACATTTGCAACATCACCCATCGTAAATTATGGTGGTTCCTCCTCGGCGGGAAGAGATCTGATACGACGTAGTACTCTTCGCTTCGCCCTATCGCTCTCGGGGTGCTCGACAAATTGTCGATTAAAATATTCCGCG